GCAGTACTCTATTGTTATAGTTATTAAATAAACTGTTAATTTACTGACACTCTTCTAAATCTAAATATCAAATTAAACCTTTTGCTTACCATCCATAAATATTGCTTCGCTTATCACTCATAAGCATCTTAAAGAACTGATCGTAATACTATTAATGTTTTCAAACTAAAACTCTATAGAAAATGTTTGGAAATTAATGAAAATTAATATATAAAAAAAAATTTGATCAATTAGAGGGTTAAAAGGAGAACTTATAAAAGAATAAAACTGATTATTACCTATACTTGCTGTGAATTTAATAGTTAGCATTAAAAGACATACAATTACATTTATAAAGTCAGATGATGACTATACAATGTATTAATTTTAGTTAGTTAATTATGTATTTTTTAAATAAAAATAATTTGAATTTACTTATTTGTAACTAGAATTAGAGACAGTCAGATACTTATAACTGCTACTGTAACTGATATTTCTTTTTTTCTACCCAATTATATAAAGTATAATAATAATACAAATCATGCAAACTAGATTTATTCTGATGATATGTAGGTACATTTCTGACTAAAATTCTTTGACCAAAATAGTTTACATATCGATCATCAGGAATTCTTATAATATGAGGAGTTATATCTAAATACTTTTTCTTATCAGAAGTATTATCATTTCTCATCATATTTTAAACTTGTTTAGCCTATATTTCAGGTCTTAACTTGAAAGCTATTCAAGCCTGTTAGATAACTTTTACACTATCAATTAAATGATTTACAATCTTTTTCCTACCTTTATGTGAATATTCATAACTATAATGAGCTAAACCTTTACTGTACATAATTAAATATGTTAGATAAATCTTATTAACTTCATCGAAACTGAGCAATAATACACTTACTCCTTTTTTTATATTCTTTTATACAGAATTGGAATGCATTTTAGTGGTTTTAGTAATACATTTCTTTAGATGATTATTATCACATTTGATAGTATTTTTACAAATAATTACTAAGGAGTCATATATAATACAATAAATATGAAATGGGTGACTTTCAGCTTTAAATTTTCCATTTTTATATGATCTTTTAATCATTTGAATAAATCCATTCTTGGAAAAGTATTTTAAGTTATATTCAAGAAGTTTCTTAAATGGAAACGAACATGAGAACACCACATTTCTAGTGTTTTGCCACTATATCTATATTGCAAAATGTTTAACGTCTGCATTACTACAGGATTTAATCCATCATAGTAGTTAGTTTTAACCATTTTATACTGTAGGAAGTTTATAGCAATTTAGTATTGTATAGGAATATAAAGACTTATAGCGATTCTTTACAACTTATATTATTAGAAATATCAGATTCATTTTTCGATTATAAGTATACCAGGGTTAAATTATTTTCAGATCTAGCGCTTCGCATAATATATCATAAAAATCTATATTATATAAATTTGTATCACATAAATCTATATCATATAAGATTCCTAAAATAAAGTCTATGATATACAAACTAAATCCTCAAATCACAGGATCATTAGTGATTTTTGGAAGTTTATTATTTTTGTTCGTCTGTGAATTAGCTGAAAGATGCATTACTAAACAATCTGTACAATTATATCAAAAAATATTGCTTTGAAATTATTTCCTTCTTTTTTTGCTTAATAGTATAGATTTCTATTGTATGCTTTAAACATCTATAGAGTTTTCTCATTTTCTGCAAGGGGTGAATAAAATTCACTAGAAGTTGGTTGTACATGATTTTTATTTCTAATTTTTTTATGACCATTAGTTATTTGAATGTGTAGGAAATATCAATTTAAATGTATAGTATATGTACAGTATATATATTAGCTATAGATCGACCAGCAGTTCATTTTTTTAAGGATTTTGGACAGATTTAGATTATATTGAATATTCAGATACTGTGTTCTAAAAAAAATTATGCTAAATAGAAAAATAATTCAATAGTAGCATTTGAAAATAATCTAAGATACTAGTTAATCTTAATTAAAATCAACAAAAAGAAGATAGTAAAAGGTGCTAAGGATGTTTTGTGATAAAACGTAAGAATGCAGTTCACTATATAATCATTTGTATAATATGTATTATATACATTCCAAAGGGATAAAAATATTGCAGTTTTATTTTAGCAATAAAATTTTTTTTATTAGAATAACAGATCATTTTTTTATATTTATAAATAACACATCAATATTTAGTATGTTTTCCTTTAACATTGATCACTGCCTGAATTCTATTTAGCATTGATTGCACTAAGTCACGATACATTTTTTGTGGTATCACTTCTTAAACCTCTTTTATCACCTTTTCAAGTTCAAAAATACTTGATGGCTGAGAGTTATGTTTTTGAATTTCCATCTCAACTACAGCCCACAAATTTTCAATTTAGTTGAGATTAGGACTTTGAGCAGTTCATAGAAGTACCTTTACATTTTGAGAATGTAGAAACTCTCATGCAATCTTCGATGTGTGAATTGGTGCATTGTTTTCCTGAAAAATGAATTTTTTTTGGTTTGTCAGAAAAATGCTTTAAGTGTAGGAATTGCATAAGTGGAAAGCATCTCTTTGTACCCTGATTATATTTTTAATCATAAGCCTGACACTCATTATTTTTAAATCAAATAATTGACTTTGTATATATTTCTAGTTACTAAACCTTCAAGTGGAATAATGAGACCTAACTTTAAAAAGGAAAAACATGTCCAAAATATTCTTTGAGAAGAATGTTTTACTGTTAATACAATGCAATTATTAAATTTTTCTTCTGGTTTTCTCTATACTCTTTCTCATCCAGTTTTTCAAAACTGTGAAAATGTAGACTTATCTGTCTAGACTATCTTTTTTCATTCTTTTACATTCCAATTTCTTCTTTCTATTCCTATGCAAGTCATTTGTTTTTGTTGATTGCTGAGATGAGAGGCTTCTTTCAAAAAATACAGGAATGCATATTTTTCTTATAAAGTACATAATGAATTGTTTTTGTAGAGACTGGCTTATTAATTTTAGCAGAAAACATATTAGTAATTTCTACTAGATTTTTTCATCTTAGTTCTTTATTTTTGAGAACCATTGCCTTTAATCTTTGCCTTTTTTGGCTATCGATTAAGTAGGGTTGACCTGGTCATTTTTTAGAAGATACTTCTGATTTATAAGCTGCAAGATACTTCGTAATAGTTATTTAATAATATTCTATAGCTTTTGCAATCTCTGTATTGTTGTAGCCTAATTTTTTGATTGCAATAATGTCTTTCTTTTGTATAGGAGTTAATTCTTTAGCGAGACCCATCACATACATAAAGTTGAAAATGGTAAAGATTTTTAAACCCAATTTTTGCAATCTTTAACAAATATTCTATTTAGGAAATATATAGCAAATATGATATAAAATCATATAGCCAGTTACATATTAACAATTTATTAAATTGGGTAAATTTTGACTATGCAATATTTTTGTCTCTTCTCTATACAACTTTCAGTTTTCTAAAGTTAACATTTTTCTTCATTATAACTATCTTCGCTATTAACATCATTTTTTTGTTTCTGTTTACAATAAGATTCATCATTAAATAACTTGAGAACATAATATATTTTAGGTAAAATAATAAACCTTTCTTTCTATATTATCATTCAGCATATCGAAAAGTATATGTATCTTTATATGCTGAATTTTTTATAGACCAAGAATATATACCTTCTTAGATTATTTTTTGTAAAGGTTTACCAAATTGCTAATCAAATCCAGTACCTTATTATGGTGTGATATTTTAACTATCACTATTTTTTTTTCTTAAGCCAATAGAAATACCACGAACTATTAAGATCTGTTAACACCTAAAAGACTTTAATCTCATCTTTCATGAACAAGTCCGCTGCTATCATTTCTAATATAACTTGCTTTATGTGAAATGATTGAATTTTTTTTTCATTTTGATAATTGCATGAATTCTCATTCTTAGAATTAAGAAATCTATATTATTTCTCTCTACTAGTATTATATCAATTGTGCCTCGTGTTTGAAATAGAAATAGAGAATCTCTATATGTAATTCTTCTAAATGCTTTATAAGGTATAGTCAGATCTCTATACAGTCACACTTTATATAGTCACACTTTTATATAAGCATTCATTTTTACAGAACTGATTTTAGCATTATTAAATTACCTCTATATTAGTTATAATCAATATTACATAAAAATTTCTAATATACATATCATTTTTATTAGTAATTAAACTTCTAGTGATTACATAATTTTTTATTGGTCAATTTAAGTATTCTATAAAAGGATCTTTTATGTAACATTTTTGGTAAATGTGTAAGTAAATGTATAATACAAATTATAATCTATTCTCAAATTATAAATTTGTGTAATTTGTTTCAAATTATAAATTTATGTAATTCTTGAATAAAATTTCCATTTTCTTCATTTTCTTTTTTTTTAAAAAAAAAAGACCACCCCAATTATTTTCACAATTATTTTGATAATTCCAGATATTATGTTACAATTGAAGTTAAAGTAAAGTGTTTTGGACTTACATGGTTATTTTAAATTACTATTTATTAGTCTACTTTTTCTCCTATAGAAATTTATCTATAAACAAAAAGAATTCCAATAGTATTTTACTCACAAAAGAATTTTTTTTAAAGTTATCATTTTATAACATATTTGATTATTAATGCAGTATCTATAATATATTAAATCATATAAATCTGCAGAAACAGATCATCATTTAAAAAAGAAACTTTTTCAAAAATGCCTTCTGTTAGACCTGAACTAAAATAGCATTGTTCAGCTATAAGTGATAACATAAAATATCAAATATATGAGTGATTAAAGGCAAATAAAAGCAAACGATATATAGATATTGCAAACCATTTCAATGAAATATACTTTAATTTGAAGATTGATAGAAGCATAATTTCAAAGATTCTGTTATAAAGTGATAAGTGAAAAATAATAAATGTTGAAGATTCTGCTCAAAAATTTAGATATAAAGAGGTTAAGTTTCTGGTTTTTGAGTATGCAATGAGTCTATAGGTAGAAAATATAACAGCCAGTAATATAATATTAATGGATTTATTAATAAAAGAAAAGGCAAAAATCTTTGCTGAAGCTTTTAATATTCAAGAAGAAGATTTATCTTTTTCTAATAGTTGGCTATATAAATTTAAAAGACGTAATAATATTCATAGATACCACATGCATGATAAATTAAGAATCAATTTTAAGTCAATATACTCCTGATCGAATTTATAACATTGACGAAACGATAAGTCTTTTCCAGTTTTTTTTATCACTATTATTTTCAAAATTGTGAAATTTGCACTTTTTAGAAGTTTTAAGGACTAATGCAAAATGTTATAGTCTGATTGAATATGTATATAATTAAGAATGCGTAGTATTGTAGTATAAAATGTGATATAATTTGTGTAATTAACTAATATTCTTTATTTTTAAATATAGAGTCTTTTTTATCAAATGCCTTCAAGTCAAACACTCTTGACAAAACCAGTTTCTGGCTGAAAGAAAGATAAAACACGAATCACAGTTCTTTTTAGCATAAATGCAATAGGAACTGACAAGTTAAAATCATAGGTAATCAGCAATTTGAAGCACCTGAGGCCTTTTTCAAAGGTTAATTTGAAGTGTTTTCCCATTTATTATTAAGATAATTCTAAAGCTTAGATGAACTCATCAGTGTTTAAAGAGGTTTTTCATAAAATGGACAGCTGTTCAGAGCATAGAATAAAAAAATCTTGCTTCTAATTGATAATGCTTCATCGCATTTCAATCCACATTATTTACTGGCTGTAGAAATTGATCAAAATGAAGATGATGAAGATGAATCATCTACATCTGGTAAGATTAGGTTTATTTTTATTTTTATTTATTTTTTGTTTTATTTTATTTTTTTTATATGCTAATTATGTAATATAATTTAATGATAATAGAAAGTCGAGCTTCAAGAGGTCTTGGTAGTTATAATGGTAAATCAAAAAGTTATGGTAGTTATGGTGGTGGATTAGAAGGTCATGGCAGTCATGGTAGTAATGAACTAAAAGGTCATAGCAGTTATAGTAGTAGTGAACCAAAAGGTTATGGCAGTCGTAGTAGTGGTGAACCAAGAGATCATGGCAATTATAGTGAATCAAAAGGTTATAATAATCGTGATAGATTAGAAGGACATCAATTTGATACTTTCTAGCTTCAACTAACTCATATTGAAATAGCTTTTTTACCTCCTAATACCACAAGTCATCTTGATGTCGAAATCATTGCAAGCTTTAAAAACTACTTTAAGAGAAAGTACTGTCATCATATGCTGGATCTATTTGAAGATAAAAAAGACATAAACAGTGAAAGGATTAATATAAAAGAAGCAATAAATTATGTTGCAAAAGCATAGGGTTGCGTGACTGAAGAAGCAGTAGGAAACTGTTGGAAGAAAACTGAAATTTTGCCTTCTTTATCTGATGAAGATAGAGATAACGCATTACAAATTCAACAAGAAGCAATAAATAATGAAACAGCTGATATTGATCAAATAATTAAAGAACTTGATATGGATGACCCTTCTGTTTTTTCATTGGCAAATGCATTAACCAATTTTTTTCAAGACTTAGAAGAAATTCCAACTGAGGATATTTTAGACGAAAATGATATTATAAAGCTAATCCAAGAGGAAATACGTGATGAAAACAGTGATTCTGAAGATGAAGAAATCCTAATACCTCTCAGTGATGCTCTCAAATTTTTAAAAATCTGGATTTCATTTTTTGAGCAGCAGAATATTGATGAATTTTATGTAAAAGATTTAAATCTTTTAAAAAGTACTTTAAAATCATTAAGCGACTTGAACAACAATCCCAAAAGCAAGCATTAATTATGGATTATTTTAGTTTTTAATGGCAGTGTTTTGATTATATTAATAAATAATAAATATATACAATTTAATAAAAAATTTATAAATGATAAACTTGTTAACAATTGATATATACATTTATGTAACATTTATAATAAAACCTTTATATAGTCACTGCACATGATTTTTAATATAGTGGTGATTATATGGAAGTTACTATAACCAATGTATTAATTGGTGGATTTTACCACTTCGTGGCAAAATATCCAATCAATGTATTGCTTACCATGAATTGTGTAGTAATTCTAATAACCTGTGAAGTTACTATCAATTATATAACTAAAATTTAAAAATAATTTAAGCCGAAAAGATAATTATTCTATGAATATGTCACCTTCTTCTTCAGATACCATTATACTGTTATTATTTTTTAAAAAATTATTATATAAATAATTTAACATTTAAATTGTTCATCAATAGGTAGTAAATGTCCTTTTTGTTCAGAGTTTTTACCCAACCCACTTCCATCAAAGATCCGTCTTTTATTAAATAAAATTGTAAAACAAAATGGTAAAAATACATTTAATTTTTTTTAAAATATTGAATATTTAATAATTAAACAAAAAAACTTTATTTATTTATTATATTAGGAAAACCTACAAATGAAGACCGCTACTTATTTTGCGAAATTCACCATGCAGAGACAACAATTGTTCCTAATAGTATTCAAAAGGATTATCCTACAGAAATTAATTTTGAATTACTTAAAGGTCGAATAATTCAAATGACAGATGAACTTCTTGATATTGTTAATAAGAAAATTGATAGTTATTACCAGAATTTTCTTTAGAAATATGCAAAAAAGTTGGATCAACAAAGGCAGGAACTCCAATGATATTAATGAATCGATTTGAAAAATTAAGAGTAAGTAAAAAAAATTATTTAATTTGACATTTATATTAATTATATTAAATTTATTTATTTTATTTATTTTGTATAGCCGAGATACTATGGTTCAAAAGGATTAAATGTTATTAGTGATGTACTTTCAAAACTTTTCTTATTTAATAACAATTTTCTCTTCCTAAAAATCCAGTGAATTTTTTGCAAGAAGTTTTGTTCCTGAGACTGCATTACGTTTAATTTCTCAGAACAAAGGCAATATAGTACTTGAAGAAGCTAGAAAAATCATGAAAGATAGTGGAGACTTTAGTGATTATGTACATAGAGAATAGTCTTTAAATAAAATTAATATAAAAGAAAAAAGAAGAATGCTGTGCTTTTATTACTATTTATTGCTTATTACATGTGAATTTGTTATTAAACTAATTTAAAAAAAAATACATTTTGTTTTAGCTCTATAATAAAACAACTGCTTATTTATAAAAAAATTTTTCAAATATTTCGAACTTTGAAAAAAATTCGCGTCAACGTTATGTTCAATTTTGGACCAATCAAATCAGAGGGTATAGGATAGTTATTTTGTTTCCTTTTTAAATCTGCTATTTTTTTTGCTCTTGATGTTGCCGAAGGTAGTTTTGAACAAAGTTTTCTATAGGGGTAAGCGTATATTTGCTATTATTAATGCTTAAATGCTCTAACATTTTTATACGTTATTTCAGAGTACTGGAGGATTCCTTGTACGCAATGGGACGTGAAGACATGGGATCATTTTTTTTTTCAAAAAATATCTGAAAGCTTTACAACGTAAATCTCGCAATAATTTGAGCGGAGAACTAGAAGTCCTGTCAAGATATATAAAACCGAAGCCCAAAGAAGATAGTAAGATACTTGCAATAAGACGTCAGCTAAAGGGTAGTGTTTTTATACTTTCTTAGGAATGTGAAAATACTGACGAGCATAGTGAGTATGCTACGTCCCATCCCCTCGTACATGGAAAAGAGCGTCCAGTTACATTAGTGCCGTATCGGGCATATCTTGCTATGAGATTATTTGATTAAGGTCTGCTGATTCTGGAGGAGGAATCAGTTACGTACCTTTCTTATGTTTCCTCTCTATACAGAAAAATAAGAACGAAAAAGAAAACTTAGCACTTGTCGGTAAATGTTGTCCTTCTCTGTAATATTTGACAATAATACTCTCATACTTACTAGATCTTGTACTTTCTTTTCTGTTTCTTATCATCAAACCTACTCAAAAAACACGTTATCATAGATCAACCCGTTGCCACCGGTAAGTGAGCTGTAATAAATTTAGTCAATGCTATCTCACAATCTGTTATAAAATAATATATCAATCTTATCACTAACATTTCTTGTCTTTCAATTTGTTGTCTTCTGCAAAGGCCCCCAGGATTTCTCTTCATTCACCGATGTCATCAATTTATTCCAACAGGAGTTGAAGGAATACAAGAAAAAAAGAAATGAGATTTTCAATTTATTGCGACAGGAACTCAAAGATTCAAAAGAAAAAATCGAAACTGTTTCGTATTCATCAGTCACTACAGCGAAATACTCAAAATTTCTTATGCATTCTGGATTTAAAATTGATAGTTTGACATATCAAAAAAATTTGCAAAAGAAAGAAATACCTGCCTTCGAATGGTCTAACCACACTGAAAACTTTGTGGAATAATGAAATAATGTTATTGATTACAGTCAGACCTCCATATAATCACCTAATCAGTTCCACCAAAATTGGTGATTTTATAGAGGTGTGACTGTAAAAAAGGTAACTGTAGAGTATTAGCGATTACCTGTGAAGTTACGATATAATTATTCAGCCCCCTTATTAGCCTAAGAAAAAGAAAGCTGAAAGGCTTGTGACTTGATGCTTAATCTAAAATAAACATGATCTTCGATTTTTGAAAGTATCAAACTAACCGAACAATTCAACATTCGGCTAGATTAACGTCTAAATATGGCTTAATCTTTTTGCCTTTTTTTATAGTTTAAGCTTTATAGCCTAAACTTTATATGATATATATTAAGATAATATTATACTATCTTGATCTTAAGCTTTGGGCATTAAGCTTTAGGCATTAGGCTTTAGGCTTGCCTTATAACGAGCAGCAGGTCAATATATAGCTTTTTTTTGTTTACATAAATACGATCATTTTTCTTTTTAATTGCACAAGAAAAAAAAAATAAAACAAATAAGATTAAAGCTAATTAAGAACATCACAAAGAATGCTATAATTAATTTAGAAATCATACTCATAGTCGATACTTCTATTTACCCCAATCATATGAAATATGATTTCTGGGAAATTCTTAAAAATTATTAAAAAAAAGCTTTTTTTTGAAATTTTAAACTCCCTCTTCTTTTTTTTTGAACAAAGGATTAATAAAATTATCATGCCTGTGAAGCTAACCTTCATTTGTGTTATACACTCGGTTAGCGAAAAAGATTCTCTCGATTACGTAATAAGAGAAGCAATTAGTATAATCAGAAGAGAAGATAATGAAAGTTTGGATGTTAGAATAACAGCTTTTTTTCCGAAAAGTTCTTCGATACCCAAATGGGTTCCTATATTCGTACCTGAAAATATATTAAGATTTACAGAAAAGTACACATTTGACGAAAACCCCCTCATGATAAGCTAGAAGTAAGAAAATCTAACTCCTTTTTAAAAAAATAAAACAATAAAATAATAGAGAAGATATTTACCGTAATCTTTCGATAATTAGATAGTAGCAAACGCCGGAGATTTAATTGATATGAATTAAGAAAATCTTCTCATCAGCTCCATTTTAACATTTATAACAGGATTTGCAACTGAACCAGTTCAAAGCGATAACGAACTATTCAAAAGTATTAAGATACTCGTTACCGAATTCATCAAAGGTGGAAGCTCAGGAAAAAAATTCCTCATCAAGTGCAGATACCTCAAGTCAGATGAAAGAATTGACAAAAAACTTGTGAGAGCAAGAAAAAGCTCAAATTTGATGATTAAAAGAAATTAATCTGTATCAATTCCGAATTTCAAATAGAAATTCAAGATGTTAACTATTTACCGATGTCGATAGCGAATATGGAATCATTGCCAACCTCACCTAATACTTCACCTTCCTTTCGCTATTCCTGACCAACAAATGAACGAACTGGAAGAATATCAGCCCAAGCAATGGCCAACGCGTCAACTACCCAAATCGCTAACGAAAGCTTGAGTAAGTGAAAGCCTAACGAAAAAAAAACAAGCCTCACTGTTTCAAATAAACAAAAAATAACAAATAAATCCCGAATCAACGTAGCCCGAACAAACACCACCCGAAAAATACCACCTAAACAAACACCGCCTGAACAATTACCGCCTGAATAAACACCGCCCAAACAAACACTGCCGAATAAAAAAAGAACAAAAAAAAAAATACATAACCTATCTTTTTTTTTATCTCGTACCCGATCACTTTTCTTTTTTGCTATAAAAAAAAAGAACTTAAATAGTTGAGAATCTTTCTTACATAAATTCCCCTCTTCTATTCTGTATCCCAAGAAAAAATTTCTCTTTCTCTTTTTTTCTTTTTCCTTAATTATTATAATAATTATGATAAAAAATAAAACGTCAAATAAAAAATCACTTTTTTTTCTCTTTCTCAATTCTTGTCATTAAAAAATAAAAAATAAAAATAAACGATCGCAATCTTTTTTTTTCCTTTATTACTATATTATTGTTGCAAATTACAAATAATAAATAATAATCATAAGTTATAAACAAATACATAAATAAATAAATAAATAATACAAAAAAAAACGAGAACAAATAAACAACTGAATTTTTCAATCCTCCAAAAGAAAATCGTTCCTCTTTTCCGTTTGTATCCTACATCCCATTAATGATCAACTAAACAAAAAAAATAAACGTTAAACATAGGCGGAAAAAAAAATAAACTAAACATGTCTCATCACGTATATGATATGTACTACATAGATGTACCTACTGAAAATATCTTTGAATCATTCGTAGATAATACATCCACTCCCGTTACCCTTACTAATTCAACATATTCTCAACAATTCAATGACCAATCAGATACGAACACACCCATAGATCTTACCCCTCTCATACCATCACTGAATAACCCGTGGAGACCAGATGAAGTATTTCGACGTATCCAAACAAAGTTTCAACTCATGATACTAAAAGAATATCCCAACATTCCTTGCATTTACTGCGGAAAATTACTATACAAAAATAAAGCCACTTGGGTCGTATATAATCCCTCAGAAACCTATCCTATCAAACGAGCAAATCAAGTTAATGCTCTCGAATTATACAGTACAACAAAATGACAAATCATAAAACTTCCCTCCTGTAGCTCCTGTTCAAAACTACGAAATAGACTTCAATTCCCAATACTGGCTGAAATCTCAGACGAAATCCGATCTGTTCCCATGCATCGAAGGAAATTCCTATCTCTAGTACATTTACAATGCTCCCTTGGAAGAAATTCGAGTCCTAACTCTTCCTACTCAAAATATCGTACCATCTTAGGTACCATGGGCTATTCAACCAACTTTAGAGCATTAGCATTATACTCTGGTATAATAGGTGCTTACCTACAACCACTCAATCTCAACCACGTTTCCAACGAACAAATTATAGACGATAACTTCTTACAAGCAGCCCGCTGACTAAGCTCGCAAAATCCTTACCTCAGAAACTACACAAATGCCATAAATCAAAGATCTACAACCTCAGATCCATTCTCAACTGCTATACACATTTCCGACGATGATACACCACCACCCGTAAACCAATGTAATATAATCTTACTAATGATAAACCTACCTAGCAAAGTTCACGATGAAGACTTCCATTACTCCAGACTAATAGCAGGATTCATTCAAGAAGGTAATAACAAATCATTACCAATCTCAATCTACGATCCAAACCTCAAACCTCTTCTATTCTCCTACTTGTTCCCCGATGGTAAAGGATACTTTCACGACCTAAAAGAAGACGCTCAAATGAATCAAAGCAAGCCTGAAACCCTAGGAAAGTACGCAAAACAGATGTTACTTTTGAACGATCCAAGGTTCAGACTCAATTATTACTGGCCATCCTACACCTACCTACAATTAGAAAAACTTCGTCACCACTAAAATACACTACGTATACTACGCCAAAATAATGTGAATGAATCACGTCATCTCCCAACCACAATCGAATTAACCCAATAAAGTAACTACTTAAACACAAGGCACATAAACGAAAACTTGACCATACTGATCCCACCTTCATTAGAACAGGAGACTCCTACTTCCACGAAAAGGAACTGCATCTCAACTCAATGCTACAAAAACTCAACCTTCCCACAATCTTCAATGGCAGAGAATAGATGGACAGAACTCCGAAACATACTATCACAAACCGACAATAACGACACCAACCTGACCAACAGACCTTTACATTCTACTTTACACTTCATACACTGATTCAGATCACTAAAAAAAGAAGTATGGAAAAACGAAAAGATTAGCGGATGAGGCACAATAACCGACTTTTTTGACCGGATCAAATTCCAAAATAGAGGAGCAGCTCATACCTACGGATGTTATTGGACGACAAAATCGACTGAGTACATGATCCAAAATGATACCATACGTTTCGACCTACCAGACCCAAAAATAGAATCAGAACTGTACGAAAAAGTACTAGCCTACCAAACCCATCGATGTAACCCACTCAAATGTGATGGACCCATACCCACTGGAGAACAATGCAAAAAAAGCTTCCCACGACAATTCTCCAATACAACATATATACACCAAGATTCTCACAGATATACATATAAATGCATAAAGCCTTCTGACTAATGGATAGTACCATACTACTCCAAACACTACTAATCTGAAACGCCTACATGAATGTCCAATATGTAACCTCAAAAGGATTCACCAGATACATAACCAAATATATAGTTAAAGCTGAACCCTCTCACATATTTAATATAACAGACAACGATAAATTTAGAGAGCACATCATTGCGAGAAGACTAGGAGCAATGGAAGCAATGTTTCTATTAACCGGCGAAACAATATGTAACTCCTCGATTCAAGTAAAATACCTAAATACAGACCCACCTTATGTTAGACCAAAGGTAGTACTACTAATCCACCTACTAACAAACGAAGATGATGACCCGTACTTCAAAGACCCCATCGAAAAATATATGAAAGACCCACAAACCCAATATTCAATCAAATAACCTACCCCCAATACTTCAAAACCTACACCATTCAAAAATCAGACCGACGAACACAAGAAGAGATACATATCAAGACTAACTCAAAAACTGCGTCATTAAAAAGTTAAACCAATCATAGTACGACACTGATTCCTAAAAGCAACTGACAAAGAACTATACTTTTACCAATTATTACTCAAAACTATCCCGACTTGAAGTGAAAATGAACTAAAAATAGCCATCTGACATACCGAGACTGTTACATCTCAATGTTCCCAAACGCCACAGAAGAAATTCGACGGAATACACAAGACTGGACTGAATAAATAAGACGAATCATGAACCTGAGATACTCCGAAATTCTAGACCAACTACTATTAAACCTAGAGAGCATCATCCCAAAAAACATAGAGAACATCTTAAGAATTTAACTCGATTCCTTAAAAATCCTTCCACCAATACTCCCTGAAAACACCATCTACCAACTACCATACGATCAATACCTCGCTATGTCCACCCTCAGATCCTTTTTAGAAAGAAGAAGCGCACGAAAATACCCCTATTTCTTCATCACTGGGTCCGCCGGAACAGAAAAATCCTATCTTCTCCACCTACTAATAAACTCGTTAAAAAATGACAAACTAAATTACCTCCTAATGGCAACCACCAGTATCGCCACTCAAAATATAAGAGGAAGCACCATCCACTCCACCCTAAAATTATCTTCAACACAGACAGGTTTTCGTACTCTAGCACTTTATGACGATGAACTCAGACAAACTGAGAAAGATTGACGTAATAATAATCGATGAAATATCAATGGTATCTGCGGAACACTTAAATTTCATCTCAAACACATTCACCGCTATCCACCAAAACACCACAGCCTTCAGAGATATCAGTACCATCATCGCCGGAGACCTAGTTCAACTACCACCAGTAAGTGGATCCCAAGTATTTAAATCTTCAACATGGAAACTATTCCACCCACTCATCCTACACCAACCTCAACGTCAACAAAGCCAGTCCAAATTTTATGATATGTTACAAAACATACGCCTAGGCAACCTAACCGAAGAAATCTGGGAAAAGTTAAGGAATAAATAAGAACAATTTGACCCCAACAGGCCGATCGAACTCCTACTCAACACAACAAATATAGTAGGATATCGTAAAACTGCAGACAAGATAAACCGACTAGTCTGCAACACCCTACCAATAACTCAAAACAAATTCATCATTTCCTGAGCCATCAATACCATAAATAAAGAACTCTGGGACCCAGACATAATAGAAAAATCCTTCAAATCAAAAACGAACCTACTATCCACCGTACGACTTCAACAAGGCGTAAGAGTAATGTACCTAAACAATTCCAAAGCAAGCCTCAATATCTACAACGATACAATCAGAATCATCACAGACATTGACAAAGAAACAAACCTAGTCTGAGTCTCATTCAACGTATCAGGAGGAATCATAGACACAAACATCGAACCAACCACTAATTACTTCACCATTAATAGCAATCAAGCCAGCCGCTACCAGTTTCCAATCCAAAACTCCTACGCCCTGACCGTTCACAAGACTCAGGGTCTCACCCTAAATGACATCTTCGTAAGCCTAGACGATCAAATTTTCTCATCAGGACAAGCATACGTTGCACTAAGCAGATGCCCTAATTGGAATCACGTACAAATCTCTACACTCAAAAGAACTGCTTTTATAACTAACCCAGACGTCATCACAGAATATCAAAGGCTCGAAAAAATATCCAAAACTCCCCTACCGATCTAATCATACTCACAACAAAAACAACAAAAACAAAAAAAATAAAATAAAATAAAATAAAATTTCCCTCCATGTCAATAAATATCAAAAACATCAAAAAACTCCGACTACAAAACCTCCCAACCCCTAAATCAAAAAAAAAAATTAATAAAAAAACATACCCTCTAAAACAAAACAAAATAAAAAAAACTCACCAAACAGACAAAACATCACATACATCGTACACTCCTAACTTTACCGCCCCATTACACAATATTTAATAGATTCCACAAAAATCACATTCAATTTCTCCAATTCCTTCTATCCTTTAATTTAATCACTTAACGAAAAATAAAATAAATAAAAAGCAACATTTTTTTATCGATAATAAAAACTGATCAACAACTTTTTTAATATTATCATTTTTTTTCCTAAACTAATGAAAAAAATAAAATACGACATAGCACAAACGCAGAAAGTTATGTAACACAAAAAACAAAAAAAAAGAAAGCGTGGCGCTTAAAATGCTTCACTAGTTATTATAAAATATTATTTTAAATATTATTCTTTTTTCTTTCTCGTTTTATATCATTAATCTCAATACAACTGCATTTTTTTTATTATGCCAAAATCCAAATTGTTATTAATAAAAACTGTTAAAACCTTTTTTTATAATAAAAAATTATTTTATTATTTAGCCAATCTTAAATATAAAGAACCTAGTGATAGTAATATATAAATAATTATTAATTGTATTTCAATTGATAAATCAACTAATAATTGGTTATATTAGAATGATATCATGAAAATTTAAATGGGAAATTGAAGAAATTGAAAATTAAATTGATCAATGCATATAATCAAGATTCTTTATTTATTTATTTTATCGTTACATATTTTTATAAAGAAATTAACATTCATATTTAGAATTGCAAAATGATTCTGCACAAAAGTATTTAATTGAGAGTTAATTAATGATAACTGATCTCTCACTTCTAACGTATTTTTAAAGAAAGTACATTTAATAATTTTCTTTTATATTTAATATTAATAGTAAATAGAATTTAATTAAGTATATATAATAATTAATAATTAATTAACATATTAAACTTTTTTTAATGTATTTTTATATAAATAATAACTTATATTATAATATCATGGTCAAAGTTTAAATAAACTCTCTTCGTGATAAATTACTTCATGGATAAATTGTAATAATCATATACGGCTGTGTAATTATTGTAATAATTATTAAACCAAAAAAATGAAATTTCAGCTGAATTTTGAAGATATAATGCATTTATAGAATTGTTTTCTTTTCTTAATTATAAAATAATTGTAAATATAAAATAATTATTATGCTACTTGTTCTTTATAAAAAAAAATGATTTCAACCTATTTTTCATTTTGGCTTTGCTGAGTTTGAGAATTATTTCCTTTTTCTTCTGGTTTTTTAACTTCAATTGTCTGAGATATGTTTAGTTGATGCGATATTAATGCAGGTTTTTTAGGTTTAGTAGTTTCAAGCTAGCTTTTAATTCTTCTTTTTAAAACACGTCCTTAATTTTCATTTAAAATAAATAAATAAATTAAATTAATAAACAATAAATTCTAATTAATAAATAAAATTTACTTTTTGATTTCAATGTTGCTAGATTTTTAATTTTTTCATTA